GCATTTGCCCCTATTTCACGCCAAGACGAAAATTTCAAGTCGATAGCACCAGGTGGCTGAAATGTTTACAGTAGGAAGGTACGCGTTTCCATTTCTTCTCTATCGAACCAAAAAAAGCCGCACAAGTCGATATTTCAAAAAGTGAGGAAATTGTGAGTGTTCGGAATGGAACTATGGCTCATATTTGGATTCTACGCACCAGATTTACTATAAACAAGTTAAAAGAGTAATCGTAAACGATTTTACATAAAGCGCATTTCCACTTGCATTCATTTCCCATTTGTAAGATGCAACTTCTGTTAAAATCGTAAAATTCAAATACTTTTAAAAATAGGTATTCAAATACTTTAGAATGTATTCGAATCCTTTCAAAAGTATTTTAATACTATCAAAGGTATTCGAATAGGTACTATAAAAAGTATTCGAATACTTTGAAAAGTATTGGAATACAGTAAAAGTATTCAAATACTTGTCACTCAAATAGGTACATTTAAATTTAAAATGGTACTAGATAAAAGTCTACTACTTAAAAAATGTCAAGTTATACTTTGTATGGGGGCTACTTGGAAGAACAGCGTTTTGTGCGCTGAATGTAGTCCCTTTCCCTGAGGTTAGTTTTTTTATATTTCTATTGTTATATGCAAATTTAAGAGCAGTAAAAGCGTATTATTATTATACAGTGTGTAAAGCGATGGGGTATACAAGAGGGAATTTTTTTTTAAATATTGATTTATGAAAAAAAATTTATCTTCATAATATGTTTTGCTTGCTTTGAAAGTACCAATAACGTTTCGATTGTTTGTGGTTTGATAGCAATACTCTATCTTAATTATAATGTAGAATCGTAACTTTCAATAAAAAAATTAATTTTATTATTTTTCCAGATTTCTATAAATAAATTTTAGATTATCGAAACGTTATTGGTACTTTCAAAGCAAGCAAAAAATATCATGAAGAATAAATTTCTTTCATAAGTCAATATTTAAAAAAAATCCCTCTTGTATACCCCATCGCTTTACACACTGTATTATTATATATGAGGTACCAGGACCTTTCTTATAGTACACCTTTCTGAAATTAATCCTATCGATTTTGAAACAGCTCCTTTTTTGCCCGTTCGAAACGTGCAATCGCTTTGAAAATTGGTACACATGGTCTTAAGGATATAAGTAAAGGTCCCTATTGTTTTTAAGTTACATAGACTATCGGGTCAAAAAGTTTCATTCTAGGATCGTTCGCTATTCAGTTGTAACGGATTTTTATGTGATAATGGAAACTTCCTCTAAACATTCCTAAATAGTTGTAGTTCTCAAATATTTGAATAACTTAAAAGTATTCAAATACTATGCGAAGTATTCAAATACTTTGCTAAGCATTCGAATACTAAAAATTTGCAAAAGTATTTGAGTTACAAATATACAAATACTGCTTCCATAAAAGTATTTGAATACTGAAAAGTATTTACAAAATCGAATACTGCCCAGCTCTGGTTCCAATGAGATGTCGCCACGTACGTAAATACCTTCACAAGAACATTTTAATTTAAGCACTTAATGACCACGTCCGACTCAATTTTCCTTAAAGGGCAGTTGAAAATGTGCAATTTCATGTAGGATTTGTAGAGCAATTGTACTTCAATGATCCAGTATCTGAAATTGTCCTTTGTGTATGCAATTGGTACAATTGCGCCATCTCTTTGGTAATCGCTATACTTTTCCAAAATAATTTCTTGTAATAGTTGAACCAGTTCCAATGAGATGTCGCCACGTACGTATCTATCTTCCCAATAACATTTTAATTTAAGCACTTAATAGCCACGTCCGACTCAATTTACCTTAAAGGGCAGTTGAAAATGTGTAATTTCATGTAGGATTTGTAGAGCAATAGTATTTCAATGAGCCAGTATCTGGAATTGTCCTTTGTGTATGCAATTGGTACATTTGCGCCATCTCTTTGGTAATCGCTATACTTTTCCAAAATAATTTCTTTAATAGTTGAACCAGTTCCAATGAGATGTCGCCACGTACGTATCTACCTTCCCAAGAACATTTTAATTTAAGCACTTAATAGCCACGTCTGACTCAATTTTCCCTAAAGGGCAGTTGAAAATGTGCAATTTCATGTAGGATTTGTAGAGCAATTGTACTTCAATGATCCAGTATCTGGAATTGTCCTTTGTGTATGCAATTGGTACATTTGCGCCATCTCTTTGGTAATCTCTATACTTTTCCAAAATAATTTCTTGTAATAGTTGAACCAGTTCAATTGAGATGTCGCCACGTACGT